ACAGGATGAAGGCAGCCCCACCAGCCGGTGAACTGCTGGCCACCTCCACACCTGACGTACCTTCAGGCATTCAGAATGGGGCCACGTTGGTCAAGCCCGATGGGAGTAGCCCAGAATTGCCTTATCTGTCTGTGCTGAATGGTTTGCTCCCGAACTCAATTCGCGTCCTAGCGTGGTCTCCGGTGGCTGCGGATTTCTCAGCCCGATTCTCGTGTCGATACAGGCACTACAAATACTTCTTTACAGCTGGCAGCCCACTCCTTCCGACCACTGCGGGACCATCTCCGCGTTTGAACATAGACGCCATGAGGGAAGGCGCTTCTCGTCTGCTCGGGGACCACGACTTTAGGAATCTGTGCAAGGTAGAGGGTGTCAAGCAGATCACAAATTTCCGGAGACGAATCGATGGCGTCTCTATCGATCAAGTCCCTGCCACCTGGACATCGAAGGAAACCGACTCTGCTTCGGACGAACCGATGTACGTCCTCAATCTTCGGGGTACTGCATTCCTGTATCACCAAGTCAGGAATATAATGTCGGTGCTCTTCCTGATTGGTGCAGGCCTGGAAAAGCCCTCGCTAGTTGACGAGCTGCTGAACATCAAACCTGGCATGGCAGCCGAGGATGCAAGGTGGGCGGCGACACACGGTGTCAGCCTCCGCAAAGACCGAACCGTATTGCCTGGAAGCACTGCCACTGAGCGAGATGGCGTAGTCCAGCTCGACAGCGAGACTGGCCTGCCGGTGATGGTCCAAACGGCCACTCCAATGGAGCACGACAGTTCCTGGACGGAGCAGCAGCAACAAGACGAAGAAAAGCGGCTTGAGAGCTTGTGCGTGTATGCCAACAAGCCCGAGTACGAGATGGCCTCCGACACTTCGCTCGTACTTTGGGACTGCGGCTTCCGGCCAAGCGACGTAGCATGGCGGGCCGGAGCTTACGACGGACCCTTACCAGCTCCGCAAGGCGCTGACGTGGTCAGCGCGGCTGCGCCTACTGCAGCTTTGCTTCACGGGGAATGGACCCGAAGATCCATCTCCGCAGAGATTTGGAGACATTTCCTCTTCTCTTCGCCTGTCGCCCCCGCTGGCACACAAGAAGCTGGAGTCACTTTCGAGCAGGCACGTCGTCCAACTTTGCCAGCAGCATCGAATCAGAATGGAACAAGACACAAGTCGCTGGGACGAACTGCGGTACTGGTGCCTCTTGGAGGAGGCCACGTCAGATCACACACGTCTTGGCGTGGCTTTTCGAAATTCAAGCGAGAAGAAGCGCCAGAGGTCAAAAATCAGCGATGGCTTGAAGGCAAAGGCAAACAACGAGCTGAGGCCCTAGGTATCACACCCCAGCAGCTCTCGAGAGGATATCGACCACCGCAGTAAGATTTTGCATGTCGAGTGCGCTTCTTGCTACCTCAGGAGAAGGGAGTGAAGTGCGCTTCGGTCGCAGCACTTCAGGAAATACATGAACATTCCTTGGTGGGCACGTAGGCCATCGGTGAAGACAAAATGGAGCATTGCAGCGTAAGAAATTGTGCAGTGGAAGTCGCCAGGCTCGCTTATTGGAAGAATTAATGCTTCAATTGAGATGTTGTAGGTGATGGCTCTTTACTGGCTGCAGAATCCAAACTTGAGCTCCAAGACTCTTCCTTGATGGGTATCAGTCCGCCCTGCGAGGGGCTTACAGAGAGCTCCGTAGCTTGTGATGCGGGAAACCCTCCAAGCCCGACTCGCTCTGACTCGGGTGAAGAGACCAGGTCGACCGGCGTGAGGGCAGATTGAGAAAGGGCAGGTGAAGTTCCTAGGTCGAATCTTGAAGATGCGGCTCCATCGACTCGGTCCGCAGTGGAGAGCGTTGGGGTG